TTCAACTGGCGTTGGTCACATGTTAAAAGCAATGAGATTAGTAAGCAAAACAGGGAAAATTAGAAAGCCATTTGTTTCAAATAATGGAGTTAAGTCCACCTATCATTATTCGATAGCCTACACATATTCCTACTTAGAGATTGAACTTATAGGTCTGTATTATTCCAAATACGATTAACTTTGTCCATTGTTAATTACTTCAGTGGATGCATGCTTGTTATGAAAGTTTACTTAGTTCCCCATAACTCACTTTGTCACGTACAGCCTCAAAACGTTATCTGCTAACGAGGCCAGTCAAACTTGCCTTTAAAACGGCTCACGACAAAGTTGGTTGCAAAAATCAGTGACGTCCAATAATCAGCTTTGGTTACTTGAATTGCTGGAGGAAGAATAGGAAGAACTTGGTTGCTTAGAAGGGGAACCAATTACTGACGATTCCACCAGGCGCTCTTACCGAGACTATTTGCCGATACCTACAATGAAGATGCTGACAGGGAAGGTTGTTGCAATGCCAGAATACTCCCTGTATTAGGAGTGATCGAGTAGCCTCACTAAATACTTCCAACTGATTGATAACGCAGTTGACCGGATCAGTCAGTACTGAGCAATGACAGTCGAATCGTTATTTAGGTTAAACTTGCCAGAAAATACCTGGTCAATTCGCAACATTTCGATCAACCAATTATTAGAGTAACTTATCGCTTCAACGCAAATTCGTAGCAAGGGAAAAATAAAAGTTTAGTTAGAGAACTCGGTGACGACCAAACAGAGGAACCGACCACACTGTTTTCGGTGAGGCGGACTTAATCTGTAGGTATGTGTTGGATCGATTATACAATTTGTTCTATGCAACCTGGAAATAATGAGTGCACTGAAAGATCTACCTGTAAATAATACATCCTGTCGGGCCCCCCTCTGTGGTCAAGTGGTCTTTGTCAAGTCTCATCAAATGAAATAATGCTGGACTCCATGATCCTGGTAATTGCGTACAAGAACAACATGTACTCTTGATAATATGCAGCTAAAGGAACCACAACTGGAATGTAGCACCGAAGTTGAAATGCCTGCGAGTGTCTTGCCAAGAATAACAACATAGGCACATAAAATTTGTTTATTGTCATCATGACGCGAGGTACATTTCTTGAAGTATATACTGAATTGGATCGGAGCACTGTACTTCCGTTTATTAAATACACTGGCCAACAGGGGCGAATCAGTGACTACACATAAATCTGCAGTTCAACCGAGGTAACTGAAAGACAAATGGCAGAATAATATTGTAGTACATACTTTTTGTGACGCAAAACAAGAAACTGCTTCACTGACATGAAGATATCGTACATGGGCTAGGAAGCTCGATTGCTCAGAGTATGTAATCAAAACTCGTGTATAGTAGGCAAATATTTGGTGCCGTCTTTTTACTATTGTGCATAACATCAAGCTGTTTTCGCGAATACATAAAAATATATATGCATATATCGTATAATAGGTCATGGGACCCACTTGAACGCCACCTGCTTAGTTTTACATTGGCACCTAAATGGTTTTCCTCCGCTTCAGTTCACACCGTCCATCACCACTATCCAGTTTAGCGCGTAAATACAAAATTTAATCAACACGTATTCTCGCTTTGCCTTTTGTTTACGCTATCGCTGATCCCGAGCTTAAAACATTTTCAGTTCGACAGCATTTGAATGCGATATTCCAAATACTTCTCTGCTTATCCTATAAATGAGTACTTTGTACTGCATGCCCCGAAATCCCCTACCGCCTATATGTATTCGAATACACTGCCGGCACTAAATTTTTTGTATTACGGTTTGCTTGATGCGGAATGGTTAGTCTCACCCGTCAAGACGCATATGCACTATTTATTCCTGGGTAATTCAACGCTCGTCACTGTATTCTACTAATGAGATTTCCTTTGAGATTTTACTTAATGGTCTAGCTCGTGTTATACCGAAGGTAATTTACCACGGTTTATTGGGTGTACTTACATATGTTGAGGAAACAAAGCATTTTATTGCTTCTACTTCATACATCTGGTCCACTATAACCATCTTGATCCGGCTTAGAAAGCCTCTTTGACAAGCGCTACATTCAAATCGCTAAAGGCTACGGCATCCGTCACCGCATACTGTTGTATACATCGACGCACAAATTTCAGCCTTTGCAATCGAATATGCCTCCGGATTGACGCAATGTTGTTTGAGGTAATCAAAATATGTTGTGAGAAATTTAAACCAACATTTTAGCATGAGAAATAGTCCACTATAGTCTTGCTTACATCTGGAAATCCTGGTTTGACGTGATAAAAACCGCGCATGTTTTTATGCGGTTAACAATCGCTACATGTCCAACCGGAGAGTAGAAAACGATGGGTGGGTGGTTAACTGACCATACATCATATATTGGAAAGGTAGAAGCAGGTGGAAAATTGAAGGATAAGTCGTTTTGTAATCCCAGTGCAATCTCAATCAGTTAGATCATTAGTGTGAAGTGAATTCCAGTTAATTTTACTAATGAAACTGTGTAAGGATCAGGTGAATGTTAAGTGTGGCTCGTTCGAAAAACTGCATTATTTGATCGGTCTCGTACCTGTTTGCACTACTTAGAAGGAGATACAACATGCTGCCGTTCGCAGCGGGACGTTAGACTTTTATCAATAGTGTGTAATGCTTTGTCGCCAGGCCATGATGAGTAATGTTTGTCATAACTGTCAGTAGCATGTTAGTTGTCAAATATTATTCACACTGTTAGCAGGATCCGAATATTAATTTCAGTGAGGACCTCTTTTTATGTGCTATACTCTTCACCGTACTGAAAACTTCCTTATCAAACCCAGTATTATCGCATTTAATCTAGCTTATGTTTCACTTACAAAGTACACTTAGTTTTCTTCCAGTGATGACGTGCACTGGACGGGAAGTGTGAGACCTGCAAACAATAAAACAACTCACATAGTCAAGTAGGTTACAGCATCAAGATAAATGTGATCCAAATGAATCACATAGAATTGAAGTGAACAAGATTTTACTTCTATCGTCCCATAACCTACCTCTGACCACTGCTGCGGTGTATTGAATACACACTGAACTAGAATGCATAGTGTATGACAGATAGCTGGCTGAAAAATGCAGTAGTTTTTATCACTTATCAAATGCTATTCAGACAACTGGTGAATATAACGAATTGAGTAGCTTAAAAATATTGTCATAGAACACAGCGCTGTGTGAAATTTGTGCATGTTGAGCAGTTGTGGATACATAACATGCAGCAACCTCCTATGATTTAATGAACTGGCAAAAGTGAATTTTGTTGAAAGTAATATTATTGAGAAATTATTGTTGCAACTCGCCAAAAAGGAAATAACAGGTTGGGTATGAGTAACACCCAATTGCTGTTTTCATCATCTACCGTTCTCGTGATCGAAAAACCAAGGTTCACTTCAATGGGAATCCCGGTCCACATTGAGATCGTGTGTCGCAATCTATCCAGAAAATTGTACTACAAAAGTGACCCTCAAGTTTGTTCATTTAACCGCTGTACCATGCGTTGCCCATCGTGACCCGGTGGCTTAGGGGTAGCGGTCACAAATAACATTCTGATGGCCCCGGGTTCGATGCACACTAAATCAGACTGCTGAGAGGTACCAGCATCGAAACGCGTCATATTAGTGCAGTGTTTCGGGCGAGCAACATCCGATTTCTATCTGGATGATTTGCTTTTCTAGAAGGCTACATGGTGTACGTTGTCAGACACACACTTCAGCCGTCTTATTATGCACGTACACGATCGCACAGTTGCAAACAATACACGCCAATCTAGGTCATTGTCCTCAGATCCGTTAGAGTATCTCATCACGTAGTTCGGCATTTCACATTGCTTCTCAGTTCACGCGCAGTTGCGTTGATGAGGCAACAATACAAAGTGCTTCAGTGGATGATCTGGAACCGTGCATAATCTAGCGACAAGCACGACGTGGTAACTCATCATCAAGGGAACCCGGACATCGTGTTGAAGGTGTTGGTGGGCAACAACGCTTGATTTACATACGGTGATAATTGATAGCCTTCCAACACCCAGCCACACATTACTCAAATGCAAAGATATTAAGGGAATTAAACTGATCCCTTTATATAAACATAGAATGATCCGGATTGAGCCATCTACTATTATTTGATGTCCTCTGATTGAACCGCCAAATGTGACGTGGCTCAATATGTGTATGACTAAAAGAGCACTTGTCATGTGGACGAAAGTAACTGATTCATTGCGATATATGCAAATTATATGAGTGCATGTGTATGATGAGAAAGCTTTTAGCAACATGAAGGCATTGTGTGCATATGTCTGCACCTAATCTACTAAGTATATATTTTCCTTTTCAACAGCGAACATTTATAAAGTACGAACTCATGCGAAGGATGAGGTTGCACATATTATGCCACCTCACCGTAATTTGGTGGGAGTGACTTAAGCTTAGCTTTTTCCGCCTTACACTAAATCTGACTAAATCCGATTGATTTTATTTGCTCATTTTTGTTGTATACGTCTGATACACATGATTTTAAATCATATTGACATGAATGCTGCTGCTGTGCATTTTAAAAAAAATGGGCTTCAGCTCCGTTGACAGGACAAAATGTGGCTCACATCCACCGGCCCACTGGTTTTATTCCTTTCGGGTCTACATTGCGCTTGAGGTATGTGGATGGAGCTGTGTGTGGTGCAGTGTCAGTCAACCATGGTCCATGCGTGGGTACATATTCCTGGGACTCTCCTTCGAAGGCCATGGTGATAGGCATTCCGGACACCAATGGTATATCCGGTGTTTCGATGGGTAACATTTAGGAATTGCGGACCTAAGGAGAATCCATACCGGTATGTGTGAAAACCGATAAAAAGTTCAGAAAAACAAGTTTGATAGCACATTACTGAAATAACTTGCTGTCCTCGTACTTAATAGCTGTTTGATACCTTTAACAACGGAACAATTACTAAGATATTGATTTGTCATTCAGCTGGCATATTGGTGATTTACCTTGATAAATTTGACCTCCATTAGACAGTTGTTTGTGATGGGCCAGTTTGGCTACAGTGAACTGGTTGCTCATTAGATGCATCCGGTTTATGCAGCATAATTGCACCCAAGACAGAGTATGCACTTGAACGAATTCAAAAGTCACCTTGTTTTTATTCCACAGTGCTTTAGTTTGTCTCTCAATCTTACTGAACTGAAGTTGTTTTATTGCATTCCGAGAATGTGCAGACTAGACAATAAGCAATTGGTAAATAAGCAACACGTTAAAACGGATGAAGAATTTTGCTGAGCACAAAATGCAACTGTTGACAAAAAGAGCCGCATTATTTATGGCAAAACTTACCATTATATCAGAAGCAGGTGGATCTGTTATGCATCGGGCCAGTGATTGCAAGGCTTCACCAATTTCTGGCTATAAGTGTAAACAGTTCAGGACATAATATACATGTTTCATAAAGGCACAATTTTTCGTTTCGTCACCTGCATCATCCAATAGTAACCCCCATCATTTGGCAATCGCGATAAAAGTTACGTCAGGTTACCCGTTGGACATAGCCAAAACTAATCGAACACAGTGATTAAAGTCAATCAGTATTTCTTTTGTATGAGTTTGATCTAATTGTGCCATCAATAAGCAATATGACTTTCGACAGTGGCATTCACATTGTGTTGATAAAATAACGTGTTACGAGCAGACAATTAACAAAGACAAGATGAACCCGGATGCTTTTTGAGAAATGCGCATCTAACACGAACTAGTGATGTAGTACGAAGTTCATATAATCTACATCATTACCGGTATCTAGACATCAGTTTACCCACAAAAGCTAGGCTGAACTAATAGCTGCCTTAACGGTTGGACCCCCTTAGCTCAGAATGAAACGAACGTTAGTAAGAAGCCTCAGGAAGGTAATAGCAATCGTTTCTGATTGTCTCCTTTAATAAAGTTTAACTAAATATGCGAAACGCACCAAGAAAAACAAATTGCCTTCCCACCCCACGTGCCAAAAGCGTGAACGATTGTAAATAAACCACGAAAATATAGACTTAGAGGATCCACGGTGCCAGTAGTTGTACGCGGCTTATCTGAACCTGATGTGAAATAGGAAAGTGTGGCATTTTCCGTGAAACCCTTTAATAACTTAGCCGTTTCCAGGTAACAGATGATGAAGACGAGATGTATAGTCCTTTTAGTAACCACGCAACTAACCTTGTTCTCATTCCATAAAGCCTCTAGTTCATATTTCAAAGATTTTAATGACAGGTGTTCCGTTCTTCTTCTTTCGAGGACTGCGCAATCCGTTTGAGTCTTCCATGAAACTTGGCGACAATCCTGCATGAAACAAACGGGATGATTATTTTCTACTTTAGTACTTTGGGCAGTAAGCTGCTGAAGTGGAATACATACCGAGAGAATCCAGTTTTTCCTGTCGGAGTTATTAGCGTAGCACTCTTGCAGTTGATATTAGGAATGCTAGCACATATCGTAATTATAACGCTATAGTTTAAATCAAACGAAAGAAAATACCTTACCCTCTTTTGATTGACTTTCACTTATCCTCATCATTGAAGTTTTCATTCGGCATTTTTCTATCAATTCCCGTGTTTCGCAGACGTCTATCACATCACATTTTACTTGGCAAACGATATTGGAATAAATATCGAGGGACTCACACGTAACAAAATATGTGAACTGCTTAGTGCCCTTATGCTTTCAGCAAACTGTTGCACGACAAACTCTATGCGATGGTCTGACACCGTGGCTATAGAGACGTGAATTGCTGAATCTAAACGCAACATAGTTATTAAAAATAATTAATTGCATCACCCACGGACGACGTTTCTTGGCGGCAGTTTGCAACGATCTGGCCGTCCATATACAGACTGCAAATTAGGTCGGCACTATCAGAAGGTGTAGGATCTGTTTTGTTTAGCCCTTTCAGAAAAAAGGAGGCAATGTTGGAATCAAGGAACTTACATGTTGGTCAAATTTGGTACGCGATTCATTGCAAAATGCTCCGTTTTGAAGCAACCTTTTCTGCTTTACTTTGTCCAACAGATGAGTAGGTGAAAAAGGTTCCACCGAAACTGAGCTGCTTGTTAGTTGGTATGAAGTATTACCTGCAACAAAAGATTTTCAGTTGGCAGCTCTACGTCAGATCCACGTACGACATAGCAACGCGTCGTCGGTACGGACGTAATTTTGAAGCACGCTGCTGCGCTCCGGAGATTCGCCAAGTAGGATCCAAAAGTGAATGCTCCATCGATCGAATCGACGGCAACAACAAATTTGCGGTTGGTTTAAAGGAATACAAAGAAATGTTTGGAACTGGAGTGTTGTTTATCCCAAGCACGAAATGTTGGCTATATGCATTCTACTCAACTGGAGGAGCGTCAAGGTATATAATGAATAGCGTTCGGGATTATACTTGTTGTGCCCGCTAACAAAAGTATGCCTTCCTTAATAGTGAACATCAGATTGCTAGTTACAATATAACTTACACCAACAACCTTTCAACTTCTGGCCAGAGTATACTTTGATGACATCCATTCAGATCGTATACTACCGGTGGGTGGAAAGCGGTGCAGTGCGTTGGATATGCACACCTTAATTATGGCGTAGCATTCGTGACAAAAGTGGGAGGACTTAAAAGTTCTGATCGGTGATGGTTTTGAATACATTGGAACTACGGTACCTAATTCAACGTACAAACATCTATACCATACATCCATACCATACATCTATACCATGTCGTCACTAGACAGTATTTTCCAAATCACCTTGCTTTGACTCAGTCCTACGTCCACCACGGCCTACCCTCTACCGTCTGGATCGATAGCACGCACATCCACCCCAAAGAACGCGTGATTCATCTGGCCTCAACACGCCTGGACCTGCTGACCTCGAACCAGCGCCGATCGCCACGCAAAGGTGCGTCAGTATCTCCATCGCATCCATACACCTACTGAGGAAGCATGTCTCGTATGAAGAGCAAAGGCGATATCATGTTCCAAAGTCGTAAAAAGTGGTTCTGTTTGTTTCTATGTGTTTGAAAACATACCACACTACCTGCCTTGGGAAGGCGTTCACGAAAGCCAACACCGCAGTCGCGTTTTGGTTCTGCCAAGTATGCGAGTCTATTCCATTTGTTCCACAGCCTGTCAAAACGCTTGGAGCGTGGGGCTGAACACTTTGCTATGCAATTTAACCAACCTGAGTTATCACTTTCTTCGGGCATTGAACGCCCTTCTCCTTGGGCCGTCTCCCTGGATCCGCCCTCACGCGCTGAAGTCGAACGTGAGATCAGGCTGTTGAAATTGCATAAGGCCGCAGGAGCAGATACTATTCCTCCAGCCCTCTTCAAGTTCGGTGGACCTGCTCTAATAGGTGATCTACACGAGTTGCTAGTAAAACTTGGGAGCAGCAGAGACAGTCCCGACAGACTGGAACCGCTCTGTCATTGTCCCAATTTTCAAGGGAGGCTCCCGTTTGGTATGTGGTAATTATAGAGGGATCAGTCCTGATTTCGATTGCCTCTAAATTGCTTGCCTCTCTCATTCCTCAACAGACTGACTGGCACTCGTGAAAGCCAAATTCGTGAAGAGCAAGCCGGATTTCATTCGAGGTCGGGGCTGCATCGACCACATCTTCACATTGCGTCAAGTGTTGGAGCACCGCCATGTTTATTGGCGACCCACGTTGTCGTGTTTCTTGACATAAAAGGTGCCTTCGACTCAGTCGAATCGATGTGCACGTTGGGACTGTCTGTTGCGGAAAGGTGTGCCTGATAAATATGTAAACATTAACAAAGCGCTGTACGCACATAGTTCGGGCAGGGTGAGGGTTTATGGCACAACTCTCGCCACCCTTCAGTATCACCAGCGGTGTGAGACAAGGATGCCCGCTGTCACCTTTCCTCTTCAACTTCGCTATTGATGAAGTCATGGAAACAGCGTTCGCTGGACACGACCTAGAAGGTGTGGAGCTACGCTCCCTGGTGAGCGACTTCTTGACTTGGAGTATGCAGACGATAATGCCCTAATCTGTGACGGCGGCCACACATGCCAAACAGCACTGAACCGATTAGCACTGGCTGTCAGTCGTTTTGGGCTATGCTTTGCTCGATCAAAATGCAAAGAACTTCTTCAAGATTGGCAGGGACCCAATCCTGCGCTAACACTTGGTGGTGATCTGCTAGAAGTCGTTCAGGAATACAAGTAGCCTGGGCAGCTATATTAGCACCCGTGGGATTGAAGATGAGGTTACGAACCGTATAGCAAAAGCTCGAGGTGCTTTTGCCAATCTCCGCTACCTGTGGCGAAGACGCGACATTACTCTCGCCCTCAAGGGCAGAGTTTACAACGCAGCCGTCCGTTCAACTCTCCTATATGGCTGTGAAACCTGGCCCATCAGGTCGACAGACATGAAGAGACTCGTCACGTTCGATCATCGCTGCCTTCGCAGCTTAGCTCATGTCTGTTGGGAACACCGCGTGAGCAATGAGCGTGTTCGACGTCGCGTATTTGGTGCAGGAAGAGGCGAGTGAACCGCTCAGCACGATTATATCACGCACCAGGCTCCGATGGCTGGGCCACGTCTTGCGCATGCCAGCACACCGACTCCCACGACGTGCATTGTTTGCGCGTTGTGGGTGCGGTTGGAAGAGGAGGAGGGGAGGCCAGTGATGACTTGGTCGCGAGAAATGAAAACCCTCACTTCGAAGTTGGCGTCGGTTGGTGCATCCCGATTGCCTGGCTGGGGTCCTAGGACGGTGAACACGTTTGGCTGGACACACTTGCTGATATGGCTAGGAGCCGGCCCCAATGGCGTTTGTGTTGTGAGTTCCTTTGTCCATCCCCCTCCTGTTTAGCATCCCCCTCCAATCACGATCTCAATCGTTAGGCATAATATGACTTTCTTTTACGGCAGCCAGCTGTTAGCTCTCCGGAACGATGTCCATCCGTTACTGGGGACTCAGCGGGCGTGCCACTGTTTGTCTGTTTGTTTTTTTTCTTTTCTTGCCTTTTGTATTGCGGCACAATAGCTGAGGTGTTTTCCACCTCCAGCTAACGTGTAATGATGATGATGATGATGATGTCTATCTGTCCTACTGAAGAGGTGTGAAAGACTAACCGAAGCAGTCGAGC